TTATCGAGAGGCAAATCAGACAGCTGATTTACTGGTGCACGAAGCTCTATCTTCTTCAATGGATTCCGTTAGTCTTAGTTTAACTGATTTATGGGGACATGCTAGCCCCCGTCTTGTGTAACCCTTTTTGGTTTTATAAAAAAAAAAGATGAAAATATAAAAATAATTCTTGACAAAAGGTCAAATAATTAAAATAGACTATAAATTACAAAGGGCATTTTAATAATACACAAATTACAGATAAATTTTAGTAAATATGTAAAATTATAAGGGGTGTCTAACTCTGGAATTTGTGTGAACAACATAACCATATCCATATCCTTGGACTATGGATTCTGATCTGCCTTGTTGTAAAATAAAGAAGTAGATGTGGCTTTGTTCAAGAAATTAAACCAGCAGCTATATATAGGTTGTGTGACTATTGCATCGCAAAGGAGCTTCCCCGCGTGGAAGTTGAGCAACCACAACCCAACCATAAAAAGAACCCTTGACGATGCTTTTTGAAACTTTTCATGACAGCCAATATCAAACTTTAACACTAAAGTTACTGTGGAAACCGTGCAAGCCACTTCATCTCAACACGGAAACACAGTAACTAAGCTCTACCAAGTTTAAAAAGAGCTACTGAATGTGCTTTCTTCCTCATCCATTCATGGTTTAATCCATTATCAATTATTTTTTCAAGTTTGTCCATCTCATATCCTCTACGGTTCTACCTTGTATTTAATATTCAAGCTGAAGTTTCTGACAATTATAAAAACCTCCTTTATAGTTTTACTTTAATAAAAACCACTTTTCTATTTTTAAAAAATTCTACAAATATTTCCTTTTCGTTAATGATCAAAACTGAAAATGTTAAAAAGATAATATTTTTTTTTCAAAATATCTATTTTACCTTTTTACGAATTATGTACATCTGTTTTTAATAAAATAGCTCTGTCCTTTTCCCTCTTCTTTAATTCTCCTTTGATTCTCTCTCTATCTCAATCAAATCTCATTTAGACTTGACTGAATAGATGCTCTGTAATTTTCTTTACCTTGCTTGCTATGTAAATAAAGGCATTGCTTCTCTCTCCCCCTTTTTTGGGTTAAAGCAACACCCGCCGAGTTTCAAAAATCAACCCAGCAGCTTCTAGATGAGAAAATAGAGATGTTGATTACTTGATTTAGCGAGGAGGAGGAGGAGAAGGCTTCCCCATTGAAGAAGAGTTGTCGGGCGGTGTGTTGGTATTGTTTCCTCCTCGATTTCTTAGTCCACTCGAAAATGAGCCAGTAGGAAATCGTTTATCTGCAGCTTTGTGGCTCGAGGGACGATGATCTTGGCCGAGTACACTGAGTTCACTGGCAACTTCCCTGCCATCGCGTCCCAATGCCTTTAGAAGCTCCCCTACTCCAACAACAAGTTTACCTACAACTGCGACTGCGATCACCACACCTTCAACTTCCTCGTCGAAGATGGCTACGATATTCATCACACCTTCAACTCTCTCTCTCTCTCTCCATCGACAACAGTGATTGAATTCGATATCCAACTCCGGCCATTCTCTCTTTTCCCTTCCTCCTCATCTCCCATCATTTGACTTTCTTTTGTCACTGCCAACACCCCTTACCGATTTCATCTATTCGAATGGCAGTAGTAGCTAAGCTACTGTGACCGCCTCATACCAGTGCTGCAATTATGGTCCCCATTTTTCTCAAATCATTCTCTCTCTCTTTCTCTCTCTCTCCCCCTCTCTTTCTTCTTCCCTCGGTTCCTTCCATTTGTAGCCTGAAGCCACCGCCTCTTTACTTCTACTAATCCACCCTCTGTTTTTCATCCGTCGACTGGGTCTGAATCTCTAGAATCCCTCTTACTTTTTTCTCCCATTATCTTTACATTTTTTTTTTTCTATCTTTCCCTTTCTAGCATTTTCTTTTCTTTTATTTTAGTATCATATTCATACCTCTCCACCATGCTTCCTCTTGTAACAAATTAACAAGAAAACAGAGTACCGTTCCAATCCGTTGCTGAACGAAATTCCCAATACCATCGTTGGATGTCTGACAGTTCAGATTGTTATCCATCTCATTTTCGTTGAAACAAAGATTGACTGTTAGTGAGAAATTCTCAGACGTGTTCCCTTCTCACCGACTGAAATACACGGCAGAGATTGAATTCGGTCTGATCACTGATGGCCAGTCCACCACTATCATATCTATGACATTTAAGGATAAAAATGTAATTATATATTTTTTGTCTTAATTATTGATGGAAAGGAAGTATTTGTCGAATATTTAAAAAATGGAGAGGAGGTTTTTGTTAAAGTAAATCTATAGAAAATGCTTTTATGATTGTCAGAAACTTTAAGAGAAGTTTTTGTATATTATCTTTTTTTTTTCAACTTCACCATCTCATCTCTTCTACGCCCCCC